CAGTGTGGACACTGTTTCACGATATAGGCATTGCGTGGGTGCGCCGAGGGGAGAGAGTTGTTGATTCCCGACCAAACAATGTGACCGAGACTCCTTTTCGATAGCAACAGCTGATACAAGAAAATGTCTCATGAAACCAGCAAACCCTCCTCCAGCTATTCCGCACCACTAGCATGGCAAAACCAGCCATTCCCCATGTGGACGCTGGATATCGCAAGCACCCGCAACTTCATCAACATGGTGCATTGTGTGGCGTGAGAATGCGTTTCTGCAAGGTGACGCTGCAAAAACAGGAAACGTGGCTCCCATGCTTTACTTCGAAATCCCCATTTGCTTGCCGGGATGACATGACTTCCAACTACATACATGTTCTTACGAGCTTGTATGCGGAATCCGCATGTGCACGCCCGCGCGAGACGACTCTTGAGAAACACATCCATGCACATCTGGGGTAGGGCTTGGTGTTTTAGTTGGGTCGTCAATGTCGCCACACAAATGGCTCCCACGCTTTGCTTCGGAATCCCCATGTGCTTGCCGGAGTGAGGTGAATTCAAACGACATGTTCATACGAGCTTGTATGCAGAATCCCCATGTACACACTCGCGCGAGACGAGTTTTGAGAAAAACATCCATGCATATCTGGAGTACGTGTAGCGGGGTTAAGTCGCAGCAGGGCGCGTTTAGTCACAACATCCCCAAGGTGACGCTCGATCCGCGTTTAGTCGCATCACCCGCGTTTAGTCACATCAGACATAGCGAAACCCCATGGGCACACGGCCCGGAGGTGGGTTTCAACACATGTAGCGAAATGAGTAGAAAGGCCGCGTGCCGCAGGTATTCGTGCGTATTTTGCACTCACATCACCTCGTTAAGCCACGTCAGGAATGTCGAAACCCCATGTGGACGCCGCCCGGAGGCGGTGATTTGGCTAGACATTCCACAACATACTGTCGTTTACGCGGTTGGACTAGTATCGCTAATATCGGGCTTAGAGCTTTCGGTTTCATATTATCGGCTTTAGGGTGGTAGTTTAAGGGTTTAGTGGCTTCGGGCTTTATCAAACGGTTTTAAGGTGTTGAAGCTTTCGGGCTTTAGTGAAGGCTTTGCCCATCCATACTCTTGCTTTGGATTTCTGGATTGCGGGTTCGCGCAAGTAGAAGAATTTAATAACCGCTCTGCTTCCACTGGAGCATTCGCAACCACGTCAACAAGCGGTCCTCACCAAGGCCTGCAGTGGTTACATGGTTCAGGTTGAACTCCAGGCCGGGTTTTCACACTTTTATGCATGGGTTGAACGATACCCGGTCGTTCATCAATAAATGGGGGTGAACGATACCCTCCGGTGTGATTTGAAGCCACATGCCCATCAGGGTCGATCTCGCAACGCAAGAAACTGTCGCATATATAAGCGAACATCCATAGCATCGAGGCGCCTAAACCCCGCCATGCCCACTGTACATGCTGAATTTCCCGAGCACTTGCTCCCAGACGCATATCACCCATAACATCACAGCACATCAAAACCAGCCATTCCCCATGTAGACGCTCGATTCCGCAGGCAGCCGCTCGAGACGCACATCAGTGGCATCACAACATATCAAAACTAGCCATTTCATTCCCCATGTAGACGATGAATATCGCCAGCACCCGCTCCCAGACGCACCTCAGTGGCATCACAGCACATCGAGACCAGGTTACCCATGTAGCTGCTCGATGCCAAAAGTACCCGCTCGGGACACACGTCAGGGGCAGCACAGCACATCAGAAACAGTCGTTCCCCATGTGGACGCTCGATTCCACAAGCAACCGGTGGAGGCACACATAAGTAATCATCGTGATCGCCAGTAACATCACGGCACATCAAACCAGCCATTCCCCAGCCCCATGTGGACGCTCGATTCGGCCGGCAACCGCTCGAGACGCACATAAGTGGCATCAGAACACATCAAAACTGGCCATTCCCCAGGTAGACAGGTAGACGCTCAATTTCGCAATTTCGCGAGCGCCCGCTCCCAGACGCACATCAATGGCATCGCAACGCATCAAGGCCAGCCGTTTCCCATGTAGACGCTCGATTCCGAAAGCACCCGCTCATGACAGACGTCAGGGGCAGCACAGCACATGGTTTCCAGCCATTCCGCATGTAGACGCGCGATTCTACATACACTCGAGGCACACACAACCAAAGTGATCACCCATAACATCACAGCACATCAAAACCAGCCATTCTCCATGTAGGCGCTCGATTCCATAGGCAGCCAGGCAGCCGGTCGAGTCATAAGTGGTCACACATCAACTAGCCATTCCCCATGTAGACGTTCGATTCCAAAAGCACCCGCTCGGGACACACGTCGACGGCGTCACAGCACACCACAACCAGTCATTCCCCATGTGGACGCTCGATTCCACAAGCAACCGGTGGAGGCACACATAAGTATTCACTGGGATCACCCATAACATCACAGCACGTCAAAACCAGCCATTCCCCATGCAGACGCTCGATTCTGCAGGCAACGGTTCAAGACGCACATCAGTGGCATCACAACACATTAAAAGTAGCCATTCCCCATGTGGACGCTCGACTCCACAAGCACCCGGACGAGGCACACATAAGTATTCACTTCGATCACCCATTTTACAGCATATCTAAGCCCGCCCTTCCCCATGTAGACGCTTGATTCCACAGGCAACCGCTCGAGACTTTGGGCCAGCAACCGGTACCACTGGAATCGCAAACAGCAGCTGCACACTGGCTACAAGCATGTCCGAGGATGCGAATTGACGCATTTTAGCAGAATCCACAACTGCACACTCGATCGATGCGACTAAACACAAGCGGATGCGACTTAACCCATGGCCAGTAGGGCTTGGCGTTTTAGTTGGGTTTTCAATGTCACCACACAACGTGCTCCCACGCTTTGCTTCGGAATCCGTCGGAATCCCCATGCGCTTGCCGGGGTGAGATGACGATGCCTTCCAACTAAAAGTTCTTACGAGCTTGTATGCGCTATCCCCATGTGCACGCCCGCGCGAGACGACTTTTGAGAAGCACATCCATGCATATCTGGAGTAGGGCTTGGCGGCTTAGTTGGGTTTTCAATGTCGCCACACAAGCGGCTCCCATGCTTTATTACTTCGGAATCCCCATGTGCTTGCCGGGGTGAGATGAATTCCAACTACATGCTCTTACGAGCCTGTATGCGCTATCCCCATGTGCACGCTCGCGCGAGACGACTTTTGAGAAACACATCCATGCATATCCGGAGAAAGGCTTGGCGGCTTAGTTGGGTTTTCAATGTCGCCACACAATTACTTCGTATTCCCCATGTGCTTGGCGGGGTGAGATGACTTCCAACTACATGTTCTTACGAGCCTGTATGCGCTATCCCCATGTGCACACCCGCGCGAGACGACTTTTGAGAAACACGTCCATGCATATCTGGAGTAGGGATTGGCGTTTTGGTTGGGTTTTCAATGTCGCCACACAAGTGGCTCCCATGCTTTACTTCGGAATCCCCATGTGCTTGCCGGGGTGAGATGACTTCCAACTACATGTTCTTACGAGCCTGTATGCGGAATCCGCAAGTGCACGCCCGCGCGAGACGACTTTTGAGAAACACATCCATGCATATCTGGAGTAGGGATTGGCGGTTTAGTTGGGTTTTCAATGTCGCCACACAAGTGGCTCCCAGGCTGTACTTCGGAATCCCCATGTGCTTGCCCGGGTGAGATGACTTCCAACTACATGTTCTTACGAGCCTGTATGCGGAATCCGCAAGTGCACGCCCGCGCGAGACGACTTTTGAGAAACACATCCATGCATATCTGGAGTAGGGATTGGCGGTTTAGTTGGGTTTTCAATGTCGCCACACAAGTGGCTCCCAGGCTGTACTTCGGAATCCCCATGTGCTTGCCCGGGTGAAATGACTTCCAACTACATGTTCTTACGAGCCTGTATGCGCTATCCCCATGTGCACACCCGCGCGAGACGACTTTACACAATATGGGACGACTTAAGCCTACCACCCTGTATGATTCAATCGGGTTTTGGGCCAGTTTTGGGGTTCATTACAGTCAGCACGCGGCCATGCTGGCACGATTGGGGCTTCGTGGTGTTCGGTGCTGAGAACTCTGAACCCTCATTCTGGCGAGCATGTAAGTCTTACATCCAGAACAGAGACACCCGATAACGACCATGGAACCCTTTTGCACAGACTTGTATATGCCCGCCTGGAATTGACCCTAACCGCCTAAACCCTTTTTGCATCAGGACTTGTGCAACCGCCTAAACCCTAAACCCTAAACCCTAAACCCCAACCAGTGTTTCTTCTCTTCAAGCCCAGAAAACCGACCTCAGAGGCCGCCCTCGCAGCGCTGGGCCCGAATCGCGTGAGCGTGACCTTTCAAGCTGGGAAGGTTTTGTTTTGTTGAACGCCTTTTTCCTCCTTGCAGTTAAGGTCGGTGGAATCCACGTTGTGGAAGGCGGTGACATGCGGTGACTAGACCCAGCTGGGAAGGTTTAGGGTTCAGGGTTTAGGGTCTAGGGGTTTCGGGGGTTTCGGGCTTCAGGGTTTACGCTCTCGGGCTTCAGGGTTTCGGATTTATTTAGGGTCGAAAAGATGTCTGATGCTCGCACTCGGCAATACAAGGCGAGGTCTGGAGCAGATTCAGGTAATATGTGTAGGGGGCCTTAATGCTTGGAATAGAGTTTTGGTGCCATTATACTATAATTATAATAAGGAACCCCCAGAATCTCTCCGGTAATTATTTAGGCCTCTAAAGTATGGCCACAAGCAACTTTTGACATCTCGCCAAGTGCTGTGGGCGTTTAGAAGTATGTTCGCAAACGCCACACATGTGCAGCGAGTTTGTTGAACGTAGGCTGTGTCGGAATGTATCGTGAAAGGTATTGGTCCTTGCCGGCCTCCTGCCAGAATCTGCCAGAAGCTCCCCTTGCCCTTCCTATGCGTTTTCCTCAGCCGCAATGCCACAGCAGCCGATTATGGCATTGCCTCCTTGTCAGCCGTCGCGTTCAAAAAAAGGCGTTCAACCTCCAAGTGCCCATTCTGAGCGGCAATGAGCATTGGGGTGGCGCCAGGATTCGTGGCCTTGTTCTTGTCAGCCTTCGCTTCCAACAAGAGGCGTGCAACCTCTAAATGCCCAGTCTGAGCTGCGATGAACAATGGGGTGGTGCCATGATTCGTGGCCTTGTCCTTGTCAGTCTTTACATCCAACAAAAGGCGCCCAACCTCTAACTGCCCTTTCTTAGCTGCAAAGAAAAAAGGTGTGGCGCCGTTCATGGACTTGTCCTTGTCAGCCTTCGCCTCCAACAAAAGGAGTGTAACCTCCAAGTGTCCATTCTGAGCTGCGCTGAACTATGGGGTGGTGCCATGGAAATCGGCCTTGTCCTTGTCAGCCTTTGCGTCCAACAAGAGGCGCGCAACCTCTAAATGCCCATTCTGAGCTGCGATGAACAATGGGGTGGTGCCATCGTTCATGGACTTGTCCTTGTCAGCCTTCGCCTCCAACAAAAGGAGTGTAACCTCCAAGTGCCCTTTCTGAGCTGCGATGAACAACGGGGTGGTGCCATCATTCTCGGCCTTGTCCTTGTCAGCCTTCGCATCCAACAACAGGAGCGTAACCTCCAAGTGCCCCTTCTGAGCTGCGCTGAACAATGGGGTGGTGCCATGGTCATCGGCCTTGTCCTTGTCAGCCTTCGCGTCCAACAAGAGGCGTGCAACCTCCAAATTCCCTCTCTGAGCTGCGATGAACAATGGGGTGGCGCCACGATTCGTGGCCTTGTCCTTGTCAGCCTTCGAGTCCAACAAGAGGCGTGCAACCTCTAACTGCCCTTCGTGAGCTGCGACGAACAATGGGGTGTCTCCCCGATTCGTGGCCTTGTCCTTGTCGGCCTTCGCATCCAACAACAGGCATGCGACCTCTAACTGCCCTTGGTGAGCTGCGATGAACAACGGGGTGGTGCCATGGTCATCGGCCTTGTCCTTGTCGGCCTTCGCATCCAACAACAGCCGTGCAACCTCTAACTGCCCTTGGTGAGCTGGGACGAACAACGGGGTGGCGCCATGATTCGTGGCCTTGTCCTTGTCCGCATTGGCCTCCAACAAAAGGAGTGTAACCTCCAAGTGCCCTTTTCGAGATGCGATGAACAATGGGGTGTCTCCACGATTCGTGGCCTTGTCCTTGTCCGCATTGGCCTCCAACAAAAGGAGTGTAACCTCCAAGTGCCCTTTTCGAGATGCGATGAACAATGGGGTGCCTCCACGATTCGTGGCCTTGTCCTTGTCCGCGTTGGCCTCCAACAAAAGGAGTGTAACCTCCAAGTGCCCTTTCTGAGCTGCGATGAACAACGGGGTGGTGCCATCATTCTCGGCCTTGTCCTTGTCGGCCTTCGCATCCAATAACAGGCGTGCAACCTCTAACTGCCCTTGGTGAGCTGCGACGAACAACGGGGTGGCGCCATGATTCGTGGCCTTGTCCTTGTCCGCGTTGGCCTCCAACAAAAGGAGTGTAACCTCCAAGTGCCCTTTCTGAGCTGCGATGAACAACGGGGTGGGGCCATCATTCTCGGCCTTGTCCTTGTCAGCCTTCGCATCCAACAACAGGAGCGTAACCTCCAAGTGCCCCTTCTGAGCTGCGCTGAACAAGGGGGTGGTGCCATGGTCATCGGCCTTGTCCTTGTCAGCCTTCGCGTCCAACAAGAGGCGTGCAACCTCCAAATTCCCTCTCTGAGCTGCGATGAACAATGGGGTGGCGCCACGATTCGTGGCCTTGTCCTTGTCAGCCTTCGAGTCCAACAAGAGGCGTGCAACCTCTAACTGCCCTTCGTGAGCTGCGACGAACAATGGGGTGTCTCCCCGATTCGTGGCCTTGTCCTTGTCGGCCTTCGCATCCAACAACAGGCGTGCAACCTCTAACTGCCCTTGGTGAGCTGCGATGAACAACGGGGTGGTGCCATGGTCATCGGCCTTGTCCTTGTCGGCCTTCGCATCCAACAACAGCCGTGCAACCTCTAACTGCCCTTGGTGAGCTGCGACGAACAACGGGGTGGCGCCATGATTCGTGGCCTTGTCCTTGTCCGCATTGGCCTCCAACAAGAGGCGTGCAACCCCTACGTGGCCGCCTCCGGATGCGAGGAGCAACGGGGCTGGATCACCCAAATCCGGGTCTTGTGGCCTTCGCAGAATCGTCTCCACGACTGATGTCTGTCCACTCAAGGCAGCACGCCGAAGCTTTTCTATTTGCAGTTCAGATGTTGAGCTGAAGTTCACAAGCACGAGCTGAACATCGCCGGGATTTAAGATGTGTTCGTCCTCCGTGTCACTCAACACGATGCCATCTTCCGACACTACCAGCCGTTGCCTGAATCTTGGCTGCCCGCACAAGCTCTGCAAGTAGTTCTTCAGTGCCCGGACGGGGTGGCTCTCTGTCGCTGCAGCGATGTCGAGAAAGCTCTGTAGCCTTAGTGGCTGAGCACCTAAGCCCAAAAAAGGTTAAGCTGATCATTTGTGGTTGCATTGTATAAACCCCAAAAGGCAAAAGGTTACCTACTCAGCTACTAAGTAGCTCAATTGTGACGAGGACTTCCCCCGACACTGTGTGAACTCGTAACATCTGCGGCTCTTGGCATGTAGGAGTTTACACAAGCGGCAAGACTTGTGTGTAGGCGTTCCTTGTGTGTAGGCGTTCCGCTTGAGCCTGGGCAAACGAGCAAACCGTACACTTTCAAGCAAAGAAAGCTAACACGGCTCTTCTAAGGATTTAATAACGATCACTAGGAGTTCCGATGGATTTGAACTGGGCTATCTTTACAGTACCGTACTGGTAACCGCTTCAAGTTCCGGACTTGAACTCCAAATCCGAAACACAAGCCACAGACCACTCTCACAACTTGGACAAGCCATGGACAAGTCAGGCCAGGTCTCTCGCTGCGCTTCCGAACTTCGTGATGGGTTTAGGGTTTCGGGTTTAATGTACACAAGTACAGGGCTCAATTTCTACAAGTTTTCGCTCAGGGTTTTAGGCTTTGGAGTTGCGAAACCGTCTTTACGGTTTCGACTCTCGCGCCGGCAAACAGCAGGCAAGGCATCCAGCTCGTCGAAGTGTCCGAAGGTGCCAGACATCAATTTGCAGTGTCACGGGCAGACATGCAAAAAGCCAACTTGATCTAAATATGCTGCATCTGAGTTTCAAGTCTTAAGACTGTAGCACACTGCACATGCACGGGAATCAGGCGCTGAGGCCGCTACCAGATCGCCATGCTGCAACTTCGCCTGCTCGCCGCGGCCCTGGTCCCAGATTTGGGAGTTTCCGAAAATAGGGGACTCATATAATGCCCTACTTGGAGGCCCTGTTGACTTAGTAAGTCTACTTAGTATCCCCTAGAAACCCCATTATAATCCCCATAACCCACCTTACTAGCCCTACTTACTAAGTCAAAAGGGCCTCCAAGTAAATATCAGGAGCCTACTATTTAGGGTACTATTTTAAGGTTTAGGGGCCCGCAAAAAAACAGGTACCCATCATTTTCGGAAACTCCCTAGCGCTCCCTTCACCTCCCTGCCTCCGAAGGGAGATCGCAAAAACCCCAAGTGCCCTAAATCCCTGAACCCTAAACCCTAAGTGCCCTAAATCCCTGAGAGCCCTTAGAAGAGCCTGTAGCAGCCGGTCGTTCACGCGTGTGCCGTTGCCACTGCAATTCCTCGACACAGGATCCGAAGCCGGTGCGGATCTGGGGTGAAGTTTTTGAAGTTTAGGGTTTAGGGTTTAGGGTGAAGGACAACACAAGCCTGTCTAGACTTTAGGAGCTACGGACTATGGACTCTACAGGAGTAGCAGCTATGGACTATAAATAAGCTTTGTGGGCGGTCTTGCAGGCTCCATGGGGTTTCGGGGCACAAGGAAACTTCCGGGGGTGAAGGGTTCACAAGGGGCCTCGGGTGTTAGCTGGTTTTAGGATCTAGGCTTTCAGGGTTTTCGACGTAGGGTCGGGATCAGCGTTCTGCAGGGGATTGCACTCTCTTCCGCGCTTCAACTTGCAAATCTCAAAGGCAAGTATAGCAAGACAGGGCGATCGATTGCATCAGCCCGCTCAGCCGCTATACCCGACACCAGAGACCCCACCTGCTTTAACTCCCAGCCAAAGACCCCCAGTCGCAACCGAGGATCATCAGGATGAACGAGGACTCGTTGTCTGTGCCTCGACAAAAACTATCTTAGACTCGTGTCTCCATGCCAGTTTCTGCCGATGGAGGCTAAGCACATGAAAGGCCAGATTAGGGAGTGTCTCCAGACCAGCAGCGAGAAATAGCACAGAACTTGCCGTCAATACCGCAGCAGCCAAGTCGCTTCCGTCGGGCTAATGTAGGAACCTGATTAAGAAACCTTGGGCCTTTACTAGGGCTCCTTATATGAACCCTACTATTTTAAGGTTGTAGGCCCAGGGTTTCTGAATCAGGTTCCTAAAAGGGGTCTTCGGGAGTGGGGCACTTACCAAGGATCTGCGCAAGTCATCTAGGTGCCCGGCCAAGCTTCAAATTCTGGAGGTCTCGCCCCCTTGAAGATGAGATCGCGTTTCCCACGATCCAGATCTGGCAACAGCGGGTTCTGCGCAAGGAGCGCGGGGTTTCCAACAGGGCTAATCGGTCGCAAGCTTGTAAGCCAGTAGCCCTGCATACGGCACTTCGTAACCCAACGACGAACCCCAAACCCTAAACCCCTAGAATAAGCCCTTTTTGCCACAAACCCCAAACCCCAAACCCTATAACCCAAAAAACCCCTCAACCCCTAAAAACCCTAAACCCTAAACCCCCTAAACCCTAAACCCTAAATCCTAAACCCTAAAAACCCTAAACCCTAAACCCTAAACCCCCAGAATCTAGAAGTCCCAGGATCCGCCGAGGCAGGGACCGAAGAGTCAGCTAACAAGCCGGGGCCTCATCTATAGGAGTTCCTTAAAGGGATCTATAGGGGTTCCTTAAAGGGATCTATAGGGTTTAGGGTTTCGGGTCGACTTGGAGGATCATGGGACTGAGTAATTAAGGTTATAAGTACCTTAACTGGGGGTATCAATTTAGTTTCCTTTTTATAACCCTACTTACTAAGTCCCATGATCCTCCAAGCACTGGTCCAAAAGCCTGGTTACAAGTACCCCAACCGGGGCTATCGCAACTTGTTACTGCTACTCTCGGGTTTAGGGTTCAGGGTTTAGGGTTCCGGTTTAAACTCTTAGTCACCCTTCAAAGACTGGACCAGGAACCGAGGCTGGCGGAACTTGCCTTTTTCCTCCTCCCACCGCGAAGCCAAAGCGAGAAAAGGGGCATGGGCTGCTGTTCTTCTTCCGGTTCCCTTCTTGGGGGTGGTAGCAGTGGTACCGTTGTCACATTAACTGCATTGACTTGGGGTGCCTTGCGAGTGAAACCCGAATTCGGTACAGCCCACACATCAGCCCCGACTCCGCTCGCGCTACTGGTGATTGGTGATGGGAGGCCAAAAGAGGGGTTTAAGATTCTTGGGGTAGGGATTCCTTGACATGAACCCTATTATGGGAACCCTACTCCCTAGCAAACCCCATAGGCTAAAACCCTTTCGGCCTCCTATGAAGCCTTAACCCTAAACCCTATAATCAGATCCCGTATAGGAACCCTTATAGCGCTCTTTAAAGGAACCCTAGGAACCCTACAGATAACCTCCTGTTGGCCTCCTATGAGTCGGAGCCCTGCAGTCCGTCGCTACAGAGTTCCCGAAGGGCTCCGACCTTCAACCGATGCGGCACTGCTCTTCGGCAGGGGAGTGCCCCGTGGCCGTTTCAATGTAGGAACCTGATTAAGAAACCTAGGGCCTTTGGTAGGGTTCCTTATATGAATCCTACTAGTTTGGGGGTTGTAGGCCCGGGGTTTCTTAATCAGGTTCCTACATCACCACGCTCTACCCCAAATGTGACATTTGGCTGCGGCTTAGACATGACGACGATAACCTGAAAACTGCTACAGCACCCCTCCTCCTGCCGACACTGCAGCTTTGAAAACTGCCGCCCCGAACCCCGCTCTTCACTTATAGGGATCTATAGGGGTTCCTTATAATGGGATCCATATGGGTAGCCTTACCTTTGTGGTGAGAAGGGAATGAAAGAATGGTAGTAATAGTAGTTATAACTATACCCCATTCCTCCATTCCCTACTAACCAAAGGTAAGTTCACGCAACAGCCATCAGCTTCACCAGACATTCCGGGCCGTAAGTCCGGGATTTCAAAGCCTGGCAAGAGGGGGGTTCAACCTGTAAGGTTGGGAAATCCCGCAAGACCATCTTTAAGTAATTTAGGGTTTAGGGGTTTAGGGTTTAGGTGTTTCGGGTCTAGGGTCTGGGTCACCCGCAAGCTCATGTTTGGATGGCTTCTTGGTAATGAACATCGACAATGCCTCTTGCTTCGCGGTCCTCTCCAAAGACTGATCCTACTGCCCAGAGAGCCTAATACCTAGCTTAAACCATAATATGAAGCCCCTCATAATTTAAGCCATATTCCTTAATTAAGGGGTATTGGGCTCTCTGGGTGCTTCGAGTCTATGCTACACGAGGCCCTTCGAGTTTCTTCCGAAACCAGCCCTGGGCTCTGGACATGCACGTTCGGGTTCCTGCGCGGTCATCCTTCGGTTTCGAGGCAAAGGCCTTCATAATTGGAATACGTTTTGGGAGGAATGTATACTTTAATATCATAAGAAGGAACCCCCAAAACCCTATTCTGATGATTAAGGCCCCTAGATTTCATTTCAGCAGCCAACCAGGCACGCCAAGGCAATGCCTCGCCGACCTCGCGGGCTGCAGCTTGACAGGCTTTCGCCTTCTGGATGCCTGAGGCCACGTCGTCAGCCTCAGATGTGCCAGACACGTTGCCTCTTTTTATCGCACTCCACGAGCCGGCAGACCCTTCGGGCTTTCGGCCGTTTATCGAAATCCAGCCTCAGAATGGAAGAGCTAAGTTGTGACTGACTGCACCCAAGCTGAATCCCGGCCGCGTGGCTGTGAGGGTCTTCATCTCCCCTGCCTTTGCACCGATACCCCGCTGCTCCATCAAGCCCGCATAGAAGAACTGGTCTCCGATGAGGGGCGAGATGACCTGAACATCACAGCGAGCTTTGCAAGCCTTTTAGCCAGGTAAGGTCAAGGGACGGGTGCTCGCCGTCCACATGGCACCGGCATTCTAAAGCCCCGTACCAGTACCGCCTAACGCCTAAGAGCTCCTAGCCACTGCAGAGACCAATACCCGAGCGGCCCTTGAAGCGTTTTCGCCGCCCACAGTATGCACAGGTTCAGCTTGGCAAGTGAAAACTGAGATCCTTAGTGCCTCAAGAATACTAGCCATCTGCGGCCCGGGTGCGGCCGGGATCCCGGCGCAGAACGTTGCATTCACGACCCCGGCCCCACCGTGGCTAAGCATCATGCCTGATTTGCAGGTTGGGTGCTGTCATCTAAGAGCCTTTCAAACTACGTCGTCATGCATGGGCGAGGGAGCATCCACATCCGGCCGCCATTGCTGCTGAGGACACATCCTGTGCAAAAATCTTGCTGGCTGGGATACTGCAGCGCGGCAGGAGCCACGGGTAGGGAATCGAAGAGACCTGGAAGACATTGGCTTTGACCCACTCGTCCTCCTCGCACTTCAGCGCATCCCCCACGAAAACCTGAGACGGCTGCAAGTTTGAAGGCTGGCTCGAAGCATCACCAACAAGAACACCACACTGATCACACAATGACCGAAAGAATTCCGAACACCTCCACATTCCCAGCACCACAAATTCAAAACCCCAAGCGAGCAACAGACCTAGACCCCCAAAAACCTCCCACAAAGCCCTACAAGTCCCTGAGGGCTACCGAACCTCCAGGCTCTAAGGAATCATAATACACCATACATACATACCTATATGCTTATTTACATTTGTTTATATATATATATATATATGCATATGAATATACACAAGATTACCTGTGTATGTATACACGAAGTTTTCTGTATGTCGATATAGCTATATGACTATATGTATACACACATGTATACATATGCATGCACGCATACACACACACTACATACATGCATGCATGCATGCATGCATGCATACATACATACATGCGTATGTGTACGGTTGCACATATATACATATATATGTATATATATATATATATATATATATATATACATGTATGTCTGTGAGTGTGTATATGTGTTACTGTTTCATGTGTATGTATGTATGTATGTATATATATATATATATATATATATGTCTGTGTGTGTGTTCATGTATGTATGCATGCATGCATGCATCCATGGATGGATGTATGAACCTGTCGCTCCGGCTCTGGCAAGCCACGGCCCGGTCGTTTGAGCGCTTGAGCGCCTCGACCACACAGGTGGCCTGAGAGAAATGTAGGGTAAAGAGTTCAAGGTTTAGGGCATTGCCCGGTTTAGAGTCTAAGGCAGTTTGGGGTTTACTGTACCGTTTAGGGCACAGTGGAGGCACAGAGGTGAGAAAGGACTCGGATGTAGCATCACAGGCAGCATTGGGTACAGTAGCACGAGGGCAGAACGAGTGATGGACCAGGGGGATTTTCGAATGTCCAATGGGCAACGAAAGACTACATAACCTCACATTCGCAGACGGGAGAACCAAAAGAATAGAGCAGGATGAGGCCAAATGTGGAAAGACGCAGCAGCAGACTGGCGCAGTCATGAAGCAGCAGCAGTAGCAACAGGCTACGGCATAGCAGAACAGCAGTGATTAGAGAAGGGCTTCTTGGTTCGAGCCTGGACTGCAAGGCACTGTTATTGGACTTGCCCTCTGGTTATGCCAGTCGTATTTTCGTCGTCTGTCATAGGACCCTTGTAAGAGCTCCTGCCAAAGACTTTTGCTCTACAGCGCAGTTGGAACTGTACACGCAGGATGCTTGGCAGCAACGTAGGAACATGCCCTTCCCAGAGACTTCGTGGCATTGTCTTGGAAGCTGTGCCAGCTGTGCTCAACAGCCTTGTCACACACGCACATGCCAACTTCACATGCGCGCAAGCCTCATGAAGGCTCTTGTCGGAATCTAGATTAAAAGTGCCGCTCCAATGACGGATCCATTTTGAAAGCTCGTCTGTACAAGTCGCAGGCCAAGGTAAGAGATCCCGCCAGTTCTGCAGCCTCAGCCTCCCGGACAATCCGGAGAGCTTCCTCTTGCCTCCCAGTGAGTTGAGCACCTGTTCCAGGCTTCCGGCGGAACATCACCTCGGTCCTGAGGATATGCTTGACACCGCCATGCACGTCCTCACCTTCATGCATTAAACCTGGCTGGAAAAAGAGCAGGCACATGCCTCTTTTTGGTTGCACTGATGCTAAGATGTCACCTTCTTGACTTCTCTTGCCAGCGAGGACTGCATCCTGCTTGAGGAACTTTGTGGCCCCACCCTCCATACTCGAATCCAGGTAGAACATGCATGTGAAAAGTGACATCTCCTCCTGGCTGCGCATGTAGATCCCATCGCAATGCGGTCGGAAGAAGCCACCAGGCCTGTAGCGGCACAACCTGAGGCGCTCATTCAAACCAATGGGCTCCCAAAGCCCATGGCAACCGACAGGGGCCTGCAAGGCTCGGGGGCAGAGCCTATCTCCATCATCTCCACCTTGAGTTGTGTCAGAAAGAAGGCGCTGTCGCGAGCATTCATGGCCATCTCCATCGATGTGGATTACCAGATGACTTGCAGTGGGTTGCACGCGCTGCCACAGGATGAGGGCAAGTTCCTCGGATGCGAAGATGACCCGGTCATTCTTGCGATAGTCTTGCTGGTAGGCAACAGCCTCCATCATTTCATCCGTGGCCATGGAGCTGATAAGGACCTGGCATTCTTCCTCAGAGAGCACATTGTACAACACCAAGCAGCGACCTCCGAAGCACCCATAGAGACTATCGACGGGCTCGATCGCTTGAACGTCCAGCTGCTCCGGGTCAAAGTGGTCAAAGGCATCCAGGGGCGCTGCCAGGGGTGGCAGTCCTTGGATGGTTCCTATGTCATTGACCTCTTGAACTCCCTGCCCAAGAAGATCTGGTACCTGTCCGTCCTCCCGCCGCTGTTGCACTTCCATCTGCAGCTCTCTCACTCTACCTGGGCAATGTCTGACTACCAAACACATCGGGCATGTGGCACAAACAACAGTCGCAAACAGTCGAGCAGCATGTACCCTTGGCTATCGCATTGCTAGGACCTTTGCTCTAGCCTCAATAGTTAGTTCATAGACACATGCAGCTTGCTTGTGTCCGCACAGAACGCATATGCCTCTATGCCTAACGATTAGGAAGGCCTCAGTGGCCCTAAGTCCAGGGACGAATGCGCATCCTCCAGTGAAGCAGCTTTAGATACCAAGGCATATCATATGCGCCAGCAAACAAGAATCACACACACACAATCACACACACACACACACGCACACACGGCAAGAGTCAGTTATTGAACAGTTCATATAGGAACGCGACAACTGAAAGATGTAGCACCTGAGAATGCCCTTGAACGTCAATCTAGGTTAGAGAAAGAACGCTGTGTCTGGAAAGCAAGAATGCAGTGTCTGGAAACATGCAAATGCAAATGCAGCGGCAGGCGTTTGCAGGCAAGGCAGCAGCGTCGCAAGAGAACCGGTCAGATCATGGCGCTAACGGTAGCCTGGGAATGCAATGACAGCAGTGCAGCATGCACTGCTGGTGAGGCCACGATGCGCAAACTCCTAAAGCCCTTTTCTCCCCCGCGGCAGCGGCAAAAGTTAGTGTCGTCCCATCGTCCCAGAAGTAAGGAATCTAGCCTGCCTATCTTGCGGTTCAGGTTCAGGGTTGTTGAGGCTTTACCTAGAGAGCCCAATACCCCTTAATCAAGGAATATAGCTTAAATCATAATATGAAGCCTCTTATAATGTAAGGTAAATTCCTTAATTAAGGGGTATTGGGCTCTCTGGGTAGGGCTTTAGCCCCCAAACCCCCCCCCCCCCCCGCCACTTTCCCGAGACTCCCGAGGCCGAGATTCGAATTCGAAACCCCGAACTCGAAGCTCCGAAGCCGGGAGCTTGAATGTAGGAGCCTGATTAAGAAACCCTGGGCCTATAACCCCAAAACTGCAGGATTCATGTAAGGAACCCTAATAAAGGCCCAAGGTTTCTTAATCAGGTTCCTAGAGTAGCCTGAAAACTCCGGGGGCCTTGTCGAAAGGCATGGAGCCATAGCCAACGCACACCGGCGGCTCAGAAGCCTGCAGAAACCTGAGCAAATGCATCCGAGGCTGGATAAGAAGCCTTGCTGCGTCTTGCCGCCGGCAGCCCTCAGCTTCATTTCTCCAAACATGTCTCTTGTTTGCTAACTTTAACTTGACTGCCTTTTGCTAGTCGTCTGCTCCGAGCGCCCAGTCTGTCATTTGCATCATCAACATTGTTAAAAACATGTACAAACGGGTCGTATTCTGAGAGCCTCTCGTTGCGATGCGAGCCTGATGTACAATCACCACACCCGTGTACGCTAAAACCTGAACCTTCAAGCTACCCTAAACCCTACTTGGAGGATCATGGGACTTAGTAAGTAAAGTTATAAATAAGGTAGCTATACTTATAATTACTTATAACCCAAATTGAGATACTTATAACCTTACTTACTAAGTCCCCGGATCCTCCAAGTAAGCCCTAGATTACAGGCCCCACAGGTTGCCAAGAGGCTCTTCGAGGCCTGCGGGAGGCGTCCAACCGCCAGGGATGTAGCGATCTGCCAAAGGGCCAATCTCATGGACGTGAGGGCCTCCCGAAAGAAGTAAATCGGGTTTTCGACTCATACACTCGCACATGGCAGGCATGGCTTCAGATCCTAAGTCCGCTGAAACCGGTGTTTCTTTTTTGAACCCTCATGCCTTTTTGCCAGTGCATCTAGGCTACCACGTCTGGTTGAGGGGTGGGTTTGCTCCTGCCAGGCCCTCTTACTTGAATGGGATTCAGCACCAACCACTAGCTTCCAGTACTGCACCTTAGCAGGAGCCACCACTGCAACTGAGGCCTCAGGCCAGTCTCTCCACACCATAACATCTATCCCAGCTGGCCAACCAGATCAAGACTTGACCTGCCCAAGAGCTGCCGTACCCGCTTTCCCGAGTCACACGGAAGATTCTCAACGCACGACTCCGTAAAGCGAATTAAGGGTGCGGCAGGTCCCAACTCTAAAGCCTCAGAACCATCAATACAGCATCACATAAACAACCATACACCCAAGCGCAAATCTCGCTCACACCTCGAGGTGCGGATGGAAAGGGCGTCCGATTCTTTTCCATGCCAAAGCCTGTCGCAAGTGGTCCTCAACAGATCGCCGATCGCGTTCGGGATCTCCCTCCTCCACCGCCTCCTTCTTTGAGCCTTCGTTTTCCGCTCCCGCTTCCGCGTTCGTCGACGAAGGCGGGGTCGGGGGCGAAACGTTCGCCATCTCGAGGCTGCAGTGAGCCTTCGACAGCTCGGTCTCAAGCTGCTCTCTTTGTCGACGTTCCCTCGTCAGCTCCATGGCAAGGGCGGCAGACTGCCTCTGCGCGTGCTGCAGCGCGGCCGTCAGCTGCTCGACAAGAGCGTAAGGAACACTGAAGTGGCCATCATCTTCCGTCTGGCACGGAGCAGGCACCTGGACCTTTCGGGCGCCCCGGCAGTCCTCCGGCAGTGCTTCCGCTGGGCCCGGCGACGAAGCGCCGCCTCCGCCGGCCTCGAGCGCATCCAGGGCCCCGTGAAGCCGGCGCTCCTTCTCCACGAGGAGGGTACGGAACTGAGCCACCTGGGTCTCCAGCCGAGCGCGCTCGATGTCCTTAAGGCCCAGCTGTGCCGTCAGCTGCTGGACCTGCGAGCGTGCTCTCTTCAATGCTCTGGAAGCTGAGCAGAGCTTCTTCTCCTGTGCCTGCATGTGCAGCTCCATCGCCTGCAAGGCCTGCTGCGAGCCAGGAGCCTGCGACCTCTGCGACGACACGTCGCTATGGGCAGGGCGCTGGGGCTCCACCTCTTCGTCGGTGGGCTCCTCCTCGCTCTCGCCCCCGCCGTGCCCTGACTCACCAGACTGCCGCCACAGCCACATCTTCGAAGTTTCCGTGCCGAAGGCATGGGACAAGCCTAAAGCAATCGTTTCCGGAGTCTTGGTCATGTACACCTTTTATATTCTGGTTGTGGTATCTGGGTTCCGGTTGTAGTGGTTGCGGGGCGCTGTGTGGCAAAGACACACGCAACAATACGCTTCCTTGAGCCGGTTTCAGGGTTTAGGGTTTTTTTAAAGTGCAAGACGATTTAGGGTTGGAGGGTAACACATTTGGGGGGGTCTACAGTGTTTCGGACTTCCGGGTTTGGAGCTTTAGGGCTCGGGGGTCATAGGATTTTCAGAGGCTTCGGGATCAGGGCCCCTCTTAAAGGAGTCCTTCGTTGTCGCTTCCTGCTTTCTTGGGGATACCTCCTATTGAACTTCGAGTCTTACGCTTCCGGTCCCAACCTCTACGGCGCACTTTGCCCAGTTTGGGTGGCTCATACACGAAACGTGTATGGAATGTGCCTTTAGGTGACCCTTATTGAAGACCCATTTTCAAAACCTCAACGCCCTAAATAGCTTAGCTCCCGAGCCTCAGCACTTATGGGCGCCTTTTGCCTCGATCCTATGGCGATCGTCCGAGCCTGCGTCAGATGCCGTTGGCAACAGTTCGCCGCAGCAGGCATTCCTCACGAAAATCAGCGCAGGAGAGGAGAGGAGAGCTACGATCCCAGGAGTGGACGAAGCCCTGCTCACCCTTCGGGACTACGGCAAAGCCACCACCAGAGCCGCCAGACAGGGCCACACGGCAGCGTTGACTTGGGGTTTCTAGGGTTGCATTGGGGGGTTGGTTTGGCTTGTCACTTGGGTCGTGATGGGTCTTTCTTCGGGCATTGCTAAGGCCAGCGGCGCAATCAAAACGTCCTTGCGCTGGCCACGCAGCACTGGAAGCAGATCCTCGACAAGACTATGATGCCGCTTCCGGTGGGCCAGACCCGAACCTTGAAGATACCTAAACATACCTAAACCATGATCCCAAACCTTACAAGCCTTAGATGTCTTCGGAATGATTTGTGGGGCTCTCGTCAACACGCAGCGCTCTCCACTCGAAGGCACTCACGTCACGGACACACCGAAGGCACCGATGGGGCATGCTCCCAACCTCCTCTTCTGCCACTTCAACCTTGGGTCCCTTGACAAACCCATCAGAAACCCCGACATGAACAACTCTTCAGTCTTGAGGTGCACAAGTACTGCAAACCCCCCCCCCCCGCCGGCTCTCTAAGTCCTCCTCGAAGCCGATCATGGGCACCCCAAGCTCTTGGTACCAGTCTGAAAGCCTGGGCGGTCGTGAGGACTTCGAAATCAACTTCCGGGTTGGGCAGTCTTTTCAACTTCCAGGGCTCTAATATAGGGGCCTTAAGAATTAGAATAGGGCTTTGGGGCGCATTAGACTATTATTCTAACAAGGAGTCCCCACAAAAGTTTTGGTGATTGTTCAGGCCCCTATATTATGTAGTCCATCTGACGATTCTGACAAGGCTGGCGGGGACTCTCAGTCTCGTCCAGGCAGTAAGCCCCCGGTTTCCTATGTGCGGAGTGAAAACCTGATGGCTGCTTGCCTATGATGCATGTTGCTTTTCTATCAACCTTCCTCATGTCATGCCCCATGCTTTGGTTCGCTTTTCCGTGCTTTCCTCTTTTCGTCTATACCCCTGTGGTGGGGTGTCTCACAAGCCGGAGCGACGACAAGAAACAACCAACTTACTGGGAAACAAGGCAGCACAGGCAAAGGCCGCTGGGCTTGGAACCAAACATTCACTTCGAAGACCGCAAACACGAATCCTAAGCCTCGGCGGGCTCTGCCTGACTATGGTGTCCTTCCGGTTACAAGGATTTAGGGTCGTGACATTGAGGAACGTCGCCCACGCACAGATGGCAGGATGTGAGACTTCCGCACTGCAGAACTCGCCCGCCACTTGAGTCTGAGCAACTTCTCTTCGATGAACTCATGCTGAGCGCGATCCTGGATGCTCGGAACACACAGGATATTATCCTTTACTACAATATACGATAATATACTACAGTAGACTTCAATAGACCACAAAGACTATGACATATCCCATATAAGATATTGGAGTATACCAACCATATCCTGGAGTGGACTTTAGGCTCAAACGCCCATGCATGCCAAAAGGTTTGGGGCTTAGAGAGGCACAGCTTGCCTTTCGAAGCAGCACTACGGGCGACGGTCTACGTGCCAGATCCGAAAGCCCCCACAAACAGGGCAAAGAGCACCACCAGGCAGCTAGAGCTAGCTTCCCCTCACGAGGGGATGGTTGGTCCAGATCCCAACCAGCGTACGGCTATATTTGTTCTTCGATCAGCTAAGCACGCAAAGCCATTAAGGAACCCTGATAGACTCTTAAAGAACCCCGTATAGTATAGCAACCCCCGTTTCTTACCTACCCAGAGAGCCCAATACCCCTTAATTAAGGAATATGGCTTAAATTATGTAGGGCTTCATATTATGATTTAAGCCATGTTCCTTAATTGAGGGGTATTGGGCTCTCTGGGTAAAGACACCCCACCTCCCCGAAGCTTTCCGAGCGTCCAGTGCGACGTAGGTTTCGATGTGGGCCGCGTCGCCCTTCGGGTCAGCCAGAGCTGCGAGGATAGCCTCAATGCCTTACCTTTGGTTAGTAGGGAACGGAAGAATGGTAGTAATAGTAGTTATAATTCTACCCCATTCCTCCATTCCCTACTAACCAAAGGTAAGAATGCTGCTCACGACCTAACTGCAGAGGTCCTGCTAGTAATTAAGAACGAGGTTTGGCGTGTACACAAAACTAAAACTACATCGGGACTATAAGATGAGAAGCGGTCTGACCAATTATAACCTATCCGACCGGAAATAGTAAGAATCTCCTTAGGCTTCGAGCTTTGTGGTTTCAGGCATTGGGCCCACGCGGTTCAGAGTGCTTCTCGACTCTACCGACACAAATAAGGAACAAAAACGCATCATTGAACATGCTGCCGATGCTAACGGAAGCTCCTGACGCTCTGGTGGCGATTGTAAGGGGTTTACGCTCTCACAACTCGGACACAGCAAGGCGAGGTTCTTAGGTGCGGAGTCGGTGTGAAAAGAGTTTCGAGACGATTCTCACTTGCGCCAGTTCACCACAGGACACTGAAAACAGTAACAGATATAACAGTTCACTGCAATGGAGAATCGACGATGGCCGTCTAGCCTTCTCACAGCAACACATTGGATACAGGCTAAGTTGAACGAAATAGAGCACACATGTCATATAGATCTAGAAAGAGGGGTTTAGGGTTTAGGCCTTAATGGGGGTTCCTATAAAGTACCCTTAGTAGTATAGGGCCCCAAGTTAGGGGATCTACTTTCTGGATCCTCCCGGGGGTCTGGTGAGGGAGATGAAGATGAAGCCCGAGTTTCAAGATGCCAATCGAGTCACGATACATATATATATATATACATATATATAATAATAATAATAATAATAATAATAATAATAATAATAATAATAATAATATTAATAATAATAATAATAATAATAATAATAATAATAACAATAATAATAATAATGAGAAGAAGAAGAATAAGAATAAGAATAAGAATAAGAATAAGAATAAGAATCAGAATAAGAATAAGGATAAGGATAAGGATAAGGATAAGAATAAGAATAAGAATAAGAATAAGAATAAGAATAAGAATAAGAATAAGAATAATATTATATATATATATATGGATGACAGACTTTTGTAGGAGTACTGCAGGTCCTGGGTAGAAGGAAAGCAGGATGGTCCTTTGCCGCCTGCACTGCGAAGTCCCTGGACAAAGCTTGACCTTACAACAATGGCACTGCCGTCGCCGCCTCCTCATCTGCATAAAGATCATGAAATATCAGGAAAGCTACTGGAGCCAATCTGGATTTGAAGAGGACTCCTTTCCCGACCCACTTAGAGGATCATGGGACTTAGTAAGTGGGGTTATAAATAAGGTAACTATACTCATAAGTACTTATAACCCCAATTAAGGCACTTATAATCTTACTTACTAAGTCCCATGATCCTCCAAGCATGGACACAAGCAACCCTGCATCCGGAGCACCTCAGCGTTGGAGAAGTGTGGGAAGTCGCGCGTGGGCACCAGGGGCTGCAGATGAACGACAACCACCTGGGTTGACTTCGCATGGCCCTTGGGCTCTTGGTTTTGGGGCTGATCGAATCGAAACTGACAAGGAACTTTAACCGGCTCCTGTCCTGGACATACCTTTGCATGGTATGTGCGGAGTTAGAGAGACAAAGAGATCGTATGCAGAGATATGCACATGCACGTGTGCCTGTACGTCTGCACGCAGGTAGGTAGGTATGCATGTACATGCACGGATGGATGGATGGATGGATGGATGGATGGACGGACGGACGGATGGATGGATGGATGGATGGATGGAATTGAAGCTTCTCGAACTTGGCAAAGCCAGCCCAAAACCGAAAATTTGCTTAGGGTTTAGGGTTCTTTACATGGTGGCTGTGTGGGGCTTTATCGGGCCTTATAGGATTGACCTTATTAACCCTGAAGGACCTACCTTTTTAAGGACTTATATATGGAAATCATACTAAGGAACCCTAAAAAGGTAGGTTATTCAGGGTTAAGGTGGGTAGCATCCCCTTATTGAGAGGGTCTATATCCCCAAGGGTCCCCTTAATCCTAACTCCCATAAGGGAGGGTTTAGGGCGGGTTTAGGCACCTCTGAACTGTCATATACCCATCATATAGCACATTATAAGGTAGGGGTCCCCATTAAGGGTCCCTCCTTTTCCCCTTTGAGTTTAGGGTTTAGGCACTCAGAGAGCCCAATACCCCTTAATTAAGGAATATGGCTTACATCATGATATGAAGCCCTATATAAGTTAAGCCATATTCCTTAAATAAGGGGTATTGGGCTCTCTAGGCACTCTGAACCCTTCACTCCGAGCTCAGGCGCTGGGATGCCGTTCTTTGCCCCGAGAAGCAGCCTCGATCGAAGCAGGCACCGGAAACTATGGGCATCTTGAACTAGTTCATGGTTTAGATATGCTTAGACAGTAGTAAGAGTTTAAGTCTGCATTCCTTGTTGGGTTTAAGTACACATAAACATGTAAAATGTTACCCAACTATGACAAAGTGTACCCTGAACCTGGCTGGGGCTCCATTTGGTGGAGTAAGGCGCGGCCTCAGGGCCTGAGGGCCTCCACCGACGCGCTTTCTCGGCCTGTTCTCCCAAATCCTTTTGCCCTGCCGCAGCCATTTGATCTGTCCACCCGCTTACCTCACCCTGAATCTCAAGTTCACTTTATCCAGGGGCTCTGAACAATTCGAAAAGGGCCTGGTATTGATGTATTGACATAATTGCAAACAACAGGTTTGCTTTGATTTCGAAGTTATTGTAATTTACGCTGCTTAGATACGTAACCGCAATTGACCGTCAGTAGGTCCACTGGCGACAGGTGCTCTGCTTCGGTTTCTGGTACAAGGCTTATCCAGGCAGAACTCCACAGCACAACTCAGAAGGGGCCCCCGCCCTGTAATATAATCCTTATAGTCACCTACTATTTGCTTAAGAACCCTCCAAAAAATAAAAATAATAATCCCTATATTACACCCCATAAGGAATTATATTTTTTATTTTTTTGGGGGTTCTTAAGCAAATAGTAGTCACTATTGAAGCACAACCCACAACCCTAAAGGTCTTGACCCGAGCCACAAGAACCACCCAACCCTGGTGAAGGCGCCAACAGTACCACATGAGACAGCGTCGTATGTTCCCATTCTGTCACTTTCTTTGAGACGGAAGTTCACACCAATATACACTCCAGCAATGCGCATTCTGTGATTCTGTAATCATCTTACACCCATCTGATGCCATGTACAAATACGCATGTGTATATGCGCACATGTATATTTTGTACTGCTTCATGTATGCATGCACGTCTGTATGCTTTTATGCATGTATGCATATCAAGACGATCAATAATATATGTACTGCTAATCTCTCTTTCGCAAGGGTAAAGACGGGGAGTTTGCTCTCTGTTCCCCCCCTCCCCGCTCTCTCTCTTGCTTGCTTGCTTGCTTCGAGGGTTGAGTCCGCCAGGCGGACCCGGGCCTTAGGCCCCCCTCTCCCCCACGCGGTGGTGGTAGAGAAGGCTTGTGGGGTCAGAGGTCGGGAAACAAAGACAAAGGTTTGTGTGAGCTGTGGAGTTTGCCTGGCAGGAACCCCCCCCTAACCCTGAACTTTATCCCGCGTCCCGGCCTCATCGCCGCGCCCTCTAAGGCTGAGTCCTAAGTCCCTGCGACAGGCAAGTTCCCCTCACTTGGTTCAGCAAACGGTGGCCACCCCCCAAAGCATCCCAACACTCTGAGGACCGAACAACAGACACAGTGAGTATCACATCACAGTATGGGCTGGCTCCCCCGCTGCGAGAAAAGCTCCTATTTGGGTTCCTATTGAAAGTTTTAGCGAAAAGCGGCGGGACTCTGTCTTTATGCCAATTGGTGCAAGGTGCAGGCAGGTGTGGGGCTAACAGCCCCGTTGGCAACTGGTTTGAATGGCTCTGCGGCCCGTCACGAATTAAGGATTTCAAAAAGATCCTAAAACGTCAGGTGGTGCTTGAGGGGCATCTGCAAACAAAGCCGAAACAAACAAAACAGACCACACTGCACGATCACTTCCCCTCACTAGGCATCACTCGGTCGAGGAAAACTTTTTGCCACGCTCATTCCGTATCTGGTCAGTGCTCACCCCGCATGTGTGTCTGTATCTTCTGGACTGCACGCCACATCGGTCCCGGCACGAGTTTGAGCTTTCGCCGGTCTCCCCCACTTTGTCGTGGGCCATGTTGTGGTACTGGTGGCTGTGCTCTCTTGCCTTCGGACCTGGTCACTTTCCCCTCGTGGCTAGAGCTTGCCGGCGTCGTGGCATCCGCGGCGGAGCTTGCTGGGCCACTGTATGGCGAACGTCCCCCCGCCTTTTTCTCACGCTCTGGCTGGTGCTTCTCTTTCTTGTGCCGCCTTTTTTCCCATGCCTTTTCCTCGTTCTTGTCCTTCTTGTGTTTCTTGACGTCCTTGTGCTTCGCCTTCTTCTTCTTCTCCCCCTCCTTCTCGGTCGGTCGGTCGCGCTTTGTCCCCTCCATAGGTGGCGCACCCTGGTCTTTGAAAACTTGCTTTGCCTGGCTGAGCAACGCCCCCACCTTCCATGGGTGTTTGGCGATGTAGAGGAGGAGCTCCTGGACTATTTTTGGGTTCCCCTCCTTCACGATGGCCACAAGCTTGTCGGCTTGCCTCCCCGTGGCTCGCCTCATGTTGTGCCTCTGCACATATTGTTCCCATTCCTGGGCATCGGCTTCTTCGAGGATCCCCCCGGTGTTCAGGTCGGTGTATCTCCCCTTGCTTGGTCCTTTCCAGTTTTTTCGCATGCACTTCCCAATCCATCGGTCCAGTGGGTCTGGCTCGTAAAGTAGTGCTATGCCCTGCTCTGTCTCGAAGCGGACGTAGTCAGAGTAGGGTCTTTTCGCCCCCGCCACGCTGCAAGTCCCCCCTCCCTGGGGCTGGTGGAGGTCGAACTCGTCTTCCAGCGTCCCCTGCTTCCTGATGCTGGGGGGTGCCGCCGTACTGGCAATCCCCCCAGCAGCCACACGTTGTCTGTAGCAGGTGCTGTCTGCTTCGTGGCTCTTGTGGTAGAAGGGCCCCTCAAGACATGCCCGGCAGGTAACCCCCATGGCTTTCAGCCGTTCCGCGAGCACACATTGCTCCTGCCACGTCGTCTTGGTCTTGAGTGGTTTTGCCGTCGGCTCCCTTGTTATGGGCCTTCTTCCCCCTCTCTTGGGGCTTGCCTTCCCCTCCACTTTGGTGCTCGAGGAACTTGCCATGGATCGTGATGTGGTAGAACGGCTAGGTCTCCCCGTGTTCCACAAGGTCGAAGTATGCTCCGTCCCCCTACTGGCGGGCCACCCTCGAAAGGGGCCGCGGTCAGGTTCAGGAGAAGGCGCGCGGCAACAGGGCCACTTGATCAAACGGCAGCGGGCGGAGGACTCAAGCACCACTGGAAAAGGCGAAGACAGCTCCCCTGGGTGTACAGCCCAGGGCAACGCCTTGCCTCTCCCCCCGGCACAAGAGGGCGAACAGACCCCCAAGTACAAGGTGTGGCACTTGAGCCAAAATGGCTACTCTCTCTCTCTCTCTCTTTGCTTTGCTCTGTCTCTCTCTCTCTCTTCTTCCCCGGGGCATGAGGGGGTTTCGAAACCCCTCGGCCTTGTAGGACCCCCCGATGTTCGTGGGGCTTTGGAGAGGTGTGAAGTTTGCATGTTTCTCGAATTTGCATGTTTCCCTCTCTCTCTCTCTCTCTCTCTGTCTCTCTCCCTTTCTCTGCTATTACATACCTGAATACGTGACTTACAGTGACTTACAGACATGCAGAAACACAGACAGCCGAGGCAGGCAGGCAGGCAGACAGACGAACGGATACATGCACGCACGGAGACAGAGGCAGATACATGTACCTATATGTGTATATGTATATAGACATATATACATATACATATACATATACAGATATACATATACATATACATATACATCTACATCTACATCTACATCTACATCTACATCTACATCTACATCTACATCTACATCTACATCTACATATACATATACATATACATATACATATACATATACATATATACATATATATATATATATATATTGTTTATGTAGGTTGTATATATTTAGATACATATGTACATATATATATATATGTATGCATATTATGTGCGGCTCCGGCCCAGGAGCGCCAGGGGTCGTGCCAGGGCGGAGGTCACGAGCACCCGGGCCTCCTGAAAGAGGGATCAAAGGGGGTTCTGAGGGTTTTGGGGTGTGGGGTTTAGGGTTTAGGAGGGTTTAGGAGGGCTTAGGGTTTATGGTGGTTTGGGGTTTAGGGTTTTGAGTTCAGGGTTTAGGCGGGTTGAAGGGTTTAGGATGGTTTAGGAAGTTTAGGATTTAGGGTAGGCGTTGTTGGTTAGTTTCGGCGCTCACGGTCAGACTTGCCAGGCGAGGCTCTTGGTGCATCGCCAGTTGGAGGTGAGACCTACATTCGAGGCTGGTTGTTATAAGGGTCTATACTGCATAAGTCACTACTCCCACTCTCAAACGCCTTGATCCTCAAGGGAGCCTGATTTGCCGTTTCTCAAGCAAGACTAAAAATCCGTTGCAAGGCGTTAGTGAAAGGCGGCATGTCTTCGGTGTCTTTGGGCTCCTGAATGTGTGGAACATGCATGTGATAGATCGACTGTGGGTTTCAGGTGCAGGGTTTAGGGGTTAGGGTCTGCTGAGTCTGCTGTTTCACGGGCGGCAGTCCTTGGCAGCCTCTTGGACGGAAGGTATGCAAGGCAGCACGAGACCGCAGATCATGTCGGAAACGGCGCCAACAAACTTCATGCGCGGATTGGGGTGGTCTGCCCTTGGAAGAGCTGATGCTCGACAACAGGAGCTTTCACATCGTCCGCAACAGACTCTGAAGCCTCTTAGGTGGACCCAGCGTCCGGCAAAACTCACCCGATACATCGAAGTCCAAATCTCGCAAATCCGAGGTAACACATCCAGATTCCATGACCCCAACTTGCAACCTGGTTTTACACCGGGGATTCGAAGGAGTTTACATCCAACTATCGATGCCTTGGTTTGATCACTTTTGCAGAGGCTTGTGTGAATCAAAGCCCTTTTGCCATAAACCCTAAACTCTTTTTCAGCATGGGCTTGGATTGTGTGCCAGCGAACTCTGAACCCTAAACCCTTTTTGCTAAACCCTAAACCCTAAACTCTGAACCCTAAACCCTTTTTGCTAAACCCTAAACTCTAAACCCTACATCCTTTTTGCTAAACCCTACATCCTAACCCCGAATCAAAGCCAAGCATCCCCTTGGTCGAGGTGCCCACGAACTTGTAGAAGTCCATCTGCGTGAACCTCTCGGACATCTGGGCTCTCTCTCTCCCACAACTGGGGAGTTTCCGAAAATAGGGGACCCTTTGAAGGTTTCCTTTGAGGGATCTATATATAAGGGTTCTATTAAGGGTTTAGGGTTTAGGTTTGGGAGTTTCCGAAAATAGGGACCCTAATATAGTAGCTTAAATACGTGTAGCAGGATCCTGATTAAAAAGGGCCCCAAAATAGGGTACAACTCATTTCTGGCAACTCCCACTTAAGGCACGCCTTTTCGAGCGGCCCCGAGGAAACTTTCGTGTACCCCTCCATGCCTTAAGATTAAGGGTGCCTTCTCTTCGAAGCTCGCGCTATGCAGCACAGTACCTCACCGGCGCACTGCGACCCCGTTCGCGGAATGGAGCCTGAACACTTGGTAAGCTCGCCTTTTTGCCCCGGTATGGAACAATGAAATACCAAACAGCTGAGCCGCTTCATTATCGTGTATCGAACCAAGAAACGGCAGCTCGTGCAAGTTGACACCGGCTGGAGCTAAGTGCTTCGAGTCGGTCATGAGGAAAAGATCCACCACATGGCCTGCTTGGCGTACGGCTCTTCATCTTTGCGAGTCTCCAAAAAAAGCCAGGGTGCCTTTTTTGGACAGCTTCGAGCGTCGTTTGCTTCTCAGAATCGCTGAAAGGGAAGGCTCGTCACATCCAGAATCAGAAAACAAGCTTGCAAGCTGCTTGTACCGCTGCCTAGCCTTCGGCGACAAGGTGTGCCGCCAAGGCCTTGGGTGTGATAGCAGATAGCGGCAAAGGATGTGTCGCCGATATTTCCAGGGAACAGGACAGCACTCAATATCATCACAAAGCGATCAACACCGCTCGACGAGGAAGGGTTCAATCTCGTGAACAAGCAACCGCACCACAGCCAAGGAGCACAGAAGGGCTCCGCATCGCCGCGGCTACCCACGGTTATGAGCACGGCTCTCATGCTGCGTAAGAGCGTGCGGCACGAGCTTATGCAGCTGTGTTGGCGTCTATCTGACTCCAGCCATTCCAGGGGTAGCTAAGCTGCTCAACATGTCGTCACAGACATGGCATGGTTTTGCCGGTGAACAAGCTTTGGCTCTGATCGGCACTTCATGCTATAATTGAGCCATCACACAACCACGCGCAGCTTGCTCCACCTGCATTCTGATGCCAAGAGGTGCGAAAGCTGCAGCCTTTCTCGGCTTCAGAACGCTTAGGAGTAGTGACTATGTTACAGTAGCCATCTTATGCAAAACAAGCCGGGAAAGACCTGGAAATGCTCTCGGGAGATTGTGGAACGTCCGGAGGCACCTTTGGCCACCAGCTCCTGATTCGGAGGATTTCGGGAAGTTTGACGGTTTTGCATAATCGGAGAAGCACGGACACCCGGAGTGTGAGCTGCGAAGCTGCAGTGGATGCTTCTGAGGAGCACCCGACAAGAACCATTCAGAACACTAACACCCGCCCCCCCCCACCCACCAACCCTTGAACCCCTAAAGTAGGCCTTTAAACCCCTACAGTAAAAGCCAGAAAGTTGGAATATGATTATCCTAAACCCTTTATGGTAAATTATAAGGTATCCTACCCTGAAACCATACTCCAACTTTCTGGAGTTCCCTTTATGGGTCTGGTTTTTATATATGAAGCCCTATATAATTTAAGCCATATTCCTTAATTAAGGGGTATTGGGCTCTCTGGGGGCCTTCAAACCCCTAGAGATTCCACGCCCTCGTTGTCCCCTCGAAGCCCACAGAGACGGCATCCTCGAAGAGCGGCGTCTGGTAGGCACGGCCCACCGACAAAGGGCCCTTCGGTCGATTGTGTTCATGTAAAGGGAACTCCAGAAAGTTGGAATATGGTTTCAGGGTAGGATACCGTATAATTTACCATAAAGGGTTTAGGATAATCATATTCCAACTTTCTGGCTTTTACTGTAAGGTAGGAACCTGATTCAGAAACCTTGGGGCCTCTATTAGGGTTCCTTGTATGGCTCCTTATATTTTGGGGTTATAGGACCAGGGTTTCTTAATCAGGCTGCTACATTAATTAGACTCTAAGCTCGGCCGCAGTCCCACTGTAATTCTGGAGGCCGGAACCTTGCATGAAACTGCCAAGATGATATCTGGAATGTACCCCTGCAAGTGTTCACCAAGCCTTGCGCATGGCTGCTGCAAAGAGGTCGTCCGAGCCCTCCTGCTATCCGCTGGGAGTTGCGTCAGCGGTTTCGGCGCTCACACTCGGACAATCCAGGCGAGGCATAGGTTTAGGGTTTCGCTATGCTCTCGCTCACTCTCGATCTTTGGGCAGAGGCGGCGGGCGAAGCCCACAGCTGCGCGGATGTCATATTCTACATCGCATTCTGCTGGGGTATCTTCCATGAAAAAGATCATGCCGCGTCGGATTGTAGGATTGCACGTATGTCCCATTGTGTCCCAGTGCGCTTTACTGCAGACCACCTGCTTCTGCTACAGCATGTCGTGTTGAATTGCATCCTGTGGTCCACATCTTGCATCACAACATATCACAACTCCAGTTCAACTGCTTGCTGCACTGCCCCGCGTCATGATGCGCGATACTGGAACATGGCTGTAACGAACACGTAACAAGCGTCACTGCAGCATGACATTCATCTTGTCAAAGCGCTTCATTGGAATTTCTTCTGTCTTTGCCGCCTTGGCCCGAACACCCACAACTTCTTCCTGTCACTCGCTTTTGCTGCGGCTGTTGCCACCTTTTCCGCCCCCGGCGGGTGCCTCCAGTTTCTGGGAAATGCGGCGCATCTCCGGCGGCAACAACTGCACATCCGTGCCTTGCGGGCGCAACTTCACGCAAGCAGAGTGTTTGGAATTCTCTGTTCTCACCCCAAATGGGAGTTTCCGAAAATAGGGAACCCTAATAATAGTACCCTAAATAGTAGGATCCTTATTATAAGGACCCCAAAATAAGGTACCCCTGCGGAAACTCCCAAATGGCTCGGCAGCTAGGACATTCCAGGATGTAGGACTGGGAACGGGTATGCTTCATCTTTCAATCCTCAACTCGTCAAGGCAAGGGAAGAGAGGTCTATGCTCCAAACCTTGAAACAGCCGAGCCGAGCTGAACAGATCCGCCCCAAAACCCGAAAACACCGAGTCTTGAAGCATTAAGAATCCTCAGCTGTGAAGTTTCGAAACCGAAAAACCCTGGGTGTCCCGTATGCGTTGCTTCCTTCCTCCTGTCGGCTCTCGGCGACTCACTATGGTGAAACAGGAACCTGATTCGGAAACCTTGGTCCTTTATTAGGGTTCCTTATACCAATCCTACTAATTGGGGGCTATAGGCCCAGAGCTTGTTAATCAGGTTCCTACATTACATGTCTTGCTGTGCTTCTGGACCGCTACACCGCGGTACTACTCTCTGACCTTCTCGGATTGCCCTCAGACGACCACTTCACTTTCTGTGCACCGGTATGTGCCGCCAAACTCCAAGGCTGTTTGTGGGAGCTCGAGCGTTTCCTCCGGCAGGGAGGTAGCAAAAGGTTTGAGGAGTTTCGACTAAGGTTCGTTCCCTACCCTCTTCATCCCCAGCAGTGCCGTCACAAGCACGATCACTCACTACCTGAGGCATTGTCACCTGTGCTAGTGCGGCTGCTCTTTCAGTTGCAATGCTGAGTGCTCGTGTTCTTTGAGTTGAGTATTCGACGACGACAACACCTGTACTACCTATTGGAGCTTACCCTCCGGGGCTCGCCCTTTTTGATTAGGTTTCGGCCCGCTGTAGTTCCATACCACGGAAACGAGCTCCCCAAGCCATAGAAAGGGTTACCCCTTCCTCTCACATAGTCTTTGGGTACCTTGGCATATACATCTATGTGTATGTGTATACATACGATAAGCATAAACAACAACTTCATACATACAAACATACATACATAAGCGCATACATACACATACACATATACATGTACATGTACTTATACAGATACAGACATACACAAACACAGGCACAAACACAAACACGTACACATACACATAAACATGCACATACACGTACAGGTGGACATGTACATTACAGTACTTGTACTACAGATATATATGTAGATCTGTATACTCATATATAGTACTGGTACCCGGGTGTCCTGCAACACCCCACGGTGGAAGATCTTGACCTTGGCAGGCAGCTGCATCGCAGGGAACGGGGCTTTTGGAGTCGAGGGTCCAAAGCAAAGGGGCCTTCACTCCGCTGAAGCTTCGGATCTTCCGGTTTCGGAGAATCGAGGGTATCTCTCTCTCTCTCTCTGCCGTGCCATCGTATCGAGGGGTCTGAAGTCTGGTCTTTTTCGAGCGCCGGCGTCTCGATCCTACTGCGTTTCCGGGCCGAGGCACAAGGGCTCGAGCCCGGTAGCTCTCCACGCTGCCGGGCCTGTTGCTCCAGCCCTCCCTGGTAGGGAAGTAGAGCGGCTCCGAGAAAGTCCCCAGAGGCGCCCGCACCGAGAGCTCCTGGGCTTCCGGTTGCGAAACTCGGAATCCTTTTGGGGTCGCTCATTCAGGACATTCAGGATCCCTAGACTCCCAGAAGGTTTTAGGGGATAGGATCTCTAGAAGATCCTAGAAGGCTTTAGGAGAGCTGCCGAAACTTTGAGGGGCCTGGGCCCTTGGCCGGGTCCTCTCGGTTTGGTGAACTTTGTGTGCAGGGGAGGCTCGAGCTGGCGCCCCGTCAAGGGCTTCGATGCCCGGAGAGTCAGAAGGCCCTGGCAGGCGTCCACCTGGCGCTCGTTGCTCAGTGACGGTGGGACTGGAAACATCTCCGCCATGATCCGCCCTGCTTCTTAAAACTCGATCCCCGGTGTCTAAGCAGACGAGCGCAAGAAGGGACTTGAATAGCCGGCCTGCGTGACAATGTGGTCCAGGTCCACGCTTCGGAAGTCCCAGTGGAACCTGAGCCCCTTAATCCGCCAAACAAGCTGTGACTTGGCGCTGCGCAGCTTCACACACGATACACACTTCAACCACCAAAGTCTTCTGACATGCACTCCCGTTTGTTGCAGCTGGGGCTTAAAATGCGTAGATTGGGAGGTGGTGAGGTCTGGTAGGCGTAGCATGTCGATGTACAGCATGAGCAAGAAGAAGACTATCCACAATTGCAACCCTAGTAAAATCAAACTATGATCATTTCTTTTAAACAGCCATCCTCGCAATGATGAAAATGATGCTGGTATTAGTTACTACTTACGATCGCAACCAGCATAGAGACAGCAGGCGAAGGCACCTCGGCGAGCGGTAAGCCAGTAGGAACTGCCGCGCTGTCAGTTCAGCCACAGTGAAGGCACCACCGGTCAACAGCAGCTGTGACCCGCCGTCGCCAGAGATGCCCTGGACCCACCTCGGGAGGCTTGTGCCTTCTGGTCTTGAGACTAGTCTCACCTCCTGACCGTCGCGTTTTCCCTGACAAACAAATTCGGCCATGCATGAGGCCCCAAGAGCCGAATGGGCTCATGAAGTTATGAGGCGACTTGAAGTCTGCGACCCGAAGTCTGTGGCAAGGGGCGTCCATGCACTTGGAAAGAAGCTGCCGTAGTTGGCCTCCTGGTGGGCGAATCCAGACCCTCGCAGCCTGGGCTGCGCCGGGCTTAGGGATTTCGGGTTTCGGGGCCAAGGCTAAGTTAGGTGTATGTAGGCGAAGGTATAATCTAATGGTCTCATTGCAGGTATTCTGATGATGCTGATCAGACAGCCATGCCCCTACACTCTCACGGAAGAAACCCTGTCCTTTCTTTCTTTCCATCAGTTAGGTCCGAGGACGAGAAGGTGACCCTGGCCCCGCGCTCGTTGTGGGACCAAGCAACAAGAAAGCACAGGCGGACCCGAGCCTTAATAATCAGAATAAGGTTTTGGGGCGCCTGCTACTATAATTTATGTTAAGGAACCCCAGAATAGGCGTGGTTACTTTTTGAGGCCCCTGTACTCCCCTCGGAGAGCAATTCTCTTCCATCCTTCTCAAAGCGGCCCATTGACAGAATAAACAGCAGTGGAGCCGAGCGAGTGGACGAAGTAGTGTGTCGGGAGCCTTGTCTTGGCCGGCTGTCCAAGGAACTGAAGTTTGCAGGTGACACATGGGTGGCTGTCAAAATTAGGGTCCCTTTTGGGGTCCTAGTTATAATACAGCACCTAATATCTAGGGTGCCCAAAAGGGGGCCCTAATTTTGACAACCACCCACATCGCCCAGAAGCAGAGCTGCAATTTGGTGCCTCCCTGCCTTCCTCGATACGGGCTAAATAATCGGATCCTTATTCTAAGGACCCCAAAATAAAGTACCCCTAATTTTGGGAAACTCCCATACCTATGCACTCTCAACTCCGAGGGAGCCCCAAAACCCCGCAGAGGCAGCTGAAAGCACTTAGCTTAGCACCAAAGCTCCCGGCAGCTCTTCGAACAACAAACATTCGAATAGGATTTTGGGCCCCATTATGCCATCATTATGGTAAGGGACCCTAAACCCTAAACCCTAAGGTCCAAGCTGCAAGCCCGAGGGGAGCCGACCAGCCCAGCCCTCCGGGCCGCAGGTATCTCTGCCTCGGCTCCTACAGAACAGTCGCCTCGGTTTGTACCGATCTACCCCAATAGGCCACAGAAATAGAAGTTAAACTTTCCGATTCCTACTAAACTATAAGAACCCGAAAAGTTTAAAGGTTGGGAATTGGGGATCTAAGTAACTACTTCTACAGGAGGCGTATGTAGCACTGGTGCTGTTACCGCGACTGCTGCATACGGCTGCTACTGCTGCAGCTCCTTCTGCTGCTACGGCTACTCTTCGTGGCTTGCGAAACCAAGGCTGGTGCTGGACAACCTGGATGGGGTTCTTACGTTTGGGGACAAAGAGATCTGGGATGGGACTCAGTAGGAGTTTCCGAAAACAGGGGACCCTCATACATTACCCTAAATACTAGGATCCTTATTATAAGGACCCCAGAATAAGGTACCCATAATTTTCGGAAACTTTAAACCCTTACAGAGCCCTTTAAAAGAACCCTTATAGTAACCCTTATAGTACCCTTTTAAAGGACCCCGAAATAAGGTACCCCGTATTTTCAAAAACTCCCAGAACCAGGGAGCTCTAGGGCCCGGGGGTGACTCGCTTGCTTACACCACATATGCATACTTGGAGAAGTACCTTGAAGGGATCTATAGGGGTTCCTTAAAGGGATCTGTAGGGTTTAGGGTTTAGGGTCTACTTGGAGGATCATGGGACTTAGTAAGTAGGGTTATAAGTGCCTTCATTGGGGTTATAAGTAGTTATAAGTATAGTTGCCTTTATAACGCCACTTACTAAGTCCCATGATCCTTCAGGTAGTCCCCGCCCTGGCGTGCTGCTACATGGCTCGAACCGAAGAGCCTCGCAGCGCGAGTTCTGCCTGGATTTGGGGATCTCGGCCGGGGTTCGACGAACACGGGACTTGGTAAGTGAGGTTATAAAGAAGCTAAGTGTACTTACACGTACTTACAGCCCCCAATTTCATGGCGCAACCTTACTAAGTAAGTCCCATGACCCTCCAAGTAGCAGCAGTCAACTGACCCCTTTGATCAAGCCACAGGCCTCATCCCAGGGAATGCGGTTCGCAAGAGAAGCTTCCTTGGCTGCGGCTGGGGTTTCGGTTTGGGAGCGATACGAGGAAGACCTTCGAGCTCTGCAAAGAGCGGATCTAGGCAGAAGGGGCTTGTTTTGTGTGACTTCACGTTCGCAATGCCTGCAGCCACGACCTCACTGTTGGGACCCCTCCTAGCAAATTGACAAGGGCTGCTGCCGACAACTCTTGGCCCAAAGCTTCGATTCTCAAGCCCGACGGGAAGTTGAAGAGCAGCTCCGCTTTGCTGTCGTTCACCGCCAGCCTCTTAGAGGTTGGGGTTTAGGGTTTACGGGTTGGGTCTACAGAGGTTACGGGAGGTGCCACGAATCTCCGTTTGGGTGTTGCTCCCTGAACATGCGACCGTTCCTTCTTTTGCACGAGCGTACATCGTGGCACAAAGACTAACAAAACAATATGCAAATGCTGCCTGCTAAACAATGGTGGAAAAGAAACAACCGGCACAGGGAAAAACAAAAACATCTTGGAGTGAAGTGGGATAACACTCGGAAGGATTCATCAACATTTCAAGTCGATTGCTGCCCCATCATCCTCCGCATGTCATGGCACAAAATATGGGGTGTCCGAGAATAGGGACCCCTTACTTAGTAGCTCAAGTAGTAGGATCCTTATTATAAGGATCCCAAAATAAGCTACCCCTTGTTGTCGGAAACTCCCATATCCTCCCGGCGTCCTGCCTCCCGACCTCGGACTCCACGACGAAGACGGCCGGCTGGTTCCGGGGAAGCTCGCGGTCCACTGGAAGCCCGCGGTCCGTAATTCGGACCGAGGCTTCCGCCGGGAAGACCTGATACTCAGAGATTCAAAGGGGAAAAGGAGGGACCCTCCCTACCCTATAATGGGCTAAACAATGGGTATATAATAGCTATATTAAGGGTATATACCTAGGGGTCCTCATTAAGGGTCCCTCCTTTTCCCAATTTCAGAGATCTCAGGGCTTTAGGATTTTCAGCACTCACACTCGGACGAACCAGGGCGAGGATCCCAGGACTTAGGGTTTTAGGGTTTAGGGGTTTTTGGGGGCCGAGGAGCTAGGGACCTAAAACTTGGGGTTTCGAGGTTCTAGGACAAGGTTTCAGGGTGTACGGCTTACCCTGTTGGAGCTGAACTTCCGGTTGCGACATGGGTGTTGGAAGTGCCACACCTGCTCCGTGAGAATTGTGCCGTTGCTGTGGGAGACCAGAGCTGCAACCCAGCTGGACGAGAAGTTGGCGGAGCCCTTTGCCTGGTAACTGGCAACGATGACGGCCACGCTCCTGTTTTCATTGTCGTCAACAATCCGGGTGAACCAGCCCTCGAACCAAGGCCCCTCCCGGTGCACCGGGAGTGGCTCAAAAGGAGAGGCACGAGATAGTGCCGCTGCACAGAACACAATCCGCCACATGCTGGCTCTTCCAAAATGCATCTGCCACTAAAAAAGAGAAAATATACCTGCACGCTCATAAGTACCTGAAAAGTCCGGAAACGTGATCACGAGTGAAAGCCTTTGAACTGGAGCGTCTGCCGTGTTGTGACTGCCGCTTACAGCATGGCTTGAGGGTTTTGGGCTTTGGGCCGCAAAACGGCTGCGAAATGCAGGGCCACTTGAGATTGTGAGCTGCAAAGATTGTCAGACTGGTATTTAGGCCCGCCCGGAGCTGGACAGTCTTCGTCAGCACAATAACAAGGGCCTTGTGCACGAATGCATTCCAGGGAGAAGAGCTCGGTGTCGCTTGGTGGCACCTCCCGCTAGCGGATAAATACTGGATCTCAAATCTCTCCTTTGAGTGCATTTCCGGGTTCATGGGCAGTTTGAAGTACGGCATTTCAGTGTACAACCAAAACTCCGGAATTCGTTAACCTGTAGCTCTGCAAAAAATCCACAAAGCACAATACACCTGAAGGATACGCTCATGTAAAAGCCCGAATCATAATCACCCGTAGTATGCCTCAGGGTTCCTTATTATAATTACAATATAGCGTGCTCCAAAATCCCTCTTTTAATTGTTACGGCCCTTACAAATTCTGACGTTGGCCCCAGCCCGGGGTCATCACGGGGAAACTGACACGCTGCCTTCATTTCAGGCGCATGCCCTTCCCAAGCGAAGCAAACCCGAATTTCGACTAATTGGCACAAACTGGTCAGGGTTTACACTCTCACAACTTGGACGGTTTAGGTTTTAGAGCTTTCCCATGTCCTGCACAGGAGCGGAGTACTGGAAGATCATTGGAACCGGAAGCGACACTCAGGAGGCAAGCAAACTACTCCGTCGTTCGCTCTTCCCCACTGGTCAACGAGCCTCAGAAGCTTGGAAGCTTGCAATGTGTGAACTAACCCCACAGCCACCACAACCCGCGAAAACTTGGTTCCAAAACACGAGAGCATCGAAAGCCCGCTCTGACACAAGAGCACACATCCCCGAATTAAAAAGAACCCAAAAAGCCACCCGAAGCCCTGAACCCCCCAAAAAAACCATCCCTAAACACCCCCCCTCAACCCAAAATCGACCCCCCCGACCCTAATATAGTACCCTAAATTGTAGGATCCTTATAATAAGGACCCCAAAATAATAAGGTACCCCCCCCTCAAAATTTCCGAAAGGAGCGCCTCCGGCTTTGGGGCCTGGGCTCTCCTGGGACTCGCGGCCGCGGGCACGGGCGGCGGCTCTGGCCGGGGCTCCTGCAAAGCTCCGCCGATCCGGTCGGCTACGCAGGGCCTCTTTTCGTGGTTTAGATTGTTTTTATAAAAACAGTTTTATAAAAACAGTTTTATAAAAACAGTTTTTATAAAAACAATTCACAATGCTTTTATAAAAACAATTCACAACGGTTTCGGGTTTCGACTCACACACTCGCACAAGGCAGGTTTACGCTCTCGCAACTCGGACAAGCCAGACGAGGTTCTCGGTGCGCGTCGGTACTACTGCAGTTCACACAAGGCAGGTTTAGGGTTTTGGGCTTAGGGTTTAAGTGTTATTCTGGCACCGACAACGACCACGACGACGACAAAGAAGAAAGGCAACGCAACAGCAGTAGCAATAACAATCATGCTATATAACCAAAAAAGAGAATGATAACGGCACTGGTGATACAGACTTGTGATGGTGAAAAACTCAAGAGGATAGTCATAGTGGGAATAACCGCACTAGCAGCAGCAACAGTACTAGTACTGTACCGCGAACAACAAACGAGAACAATAACAGCTACAATAAATGACAACATCGTTGCCGCAACTGCGAGGCTGCCCCAAAAACCAAACGCGCTCGCAGAGAAGTGTAAGAATGAGTCTAAGGATAATCGTGAACATAGGCATGGCAGTTACGAGGCTCGTAATAATCGGAATGTCGATAACTGATAACAATTATCAAGAGATTTCACGCACACTCCCGTGTCGAAAAAACAGCCAGGCAGTAGAATATCGGGCTAAAGAATCTGGCAAATGGCAAGCTTGTAATGGCATCTGCTTTTGGGCGACGCTGGGTCTTGAGAAACTTCGAGCTAGGCCTTGGGACCTGAACCTTGAATCACGAGCCTGTTCACTGTTGCTAGTACTGTTTTTGATTATTACTCCTACTACTACTACTACTACTACCACCACCTTCTAGTACTAGTACCATTACCTTCATTGTCATTGTCAGCATTATTATACTTCTTCTCCTTAGTTACTGTGGTTCTTGTTATTATACTCCTTAACTGTAACTATTATTGTCATACCTCTTCCTACTTATAAGTATTATTCTTATTCTTCTTCTTTTTATTATTACTGTTATTGTTTAAAATTAATGCTGCCCGGCCTCGCGGGGCCGCGGGGCCGGCGGTGGCGAGACTATGCTGCTGCGCCTTGGGGCCACGGAGAAGAGAGAGATGCAACATCATCAACATGATGTGATATGGGAGTTTCCGAAAGTAGGGGACCCTTGTAGATTACCCTAACTAATAGGATCCTTACTACAAGGACCCCCAAAAAAGGTACCCCAAATTTTCCGAAACTCCCATATAGCATCATAGAACACACCAGGTACTATAGCAGAATAGCATATGGCATGATACGATACGACATAACAGGAAATGATATAAATATGACTTTCTATATCTTTAAGACGGGACGGGGGAGGTGGACCTCGGCAGCCTCAGGAAGGCAAGACAGCCGTGGACTCCCAGCCCTGAGCAATCGAGCTTCAGAGCTTCACAAGGAAAATTCTTGAACCACCTCTGGCGTTCGATCGCAACTTCTGCAAGGAGTGCGGAAGCCTTTGGCAGGCTGTGGGGGCATACTTGGAGCCTCCTTTTCGTGGATTCGTTCTGCACGATGCAGCAGTGGAGGAGCTGTGATGATCTGTGATGCGTTGATGCGGCTTCCAAACCATGTGTCAGCACTGGCCGGATCACTCTTCGTTGCGCGATGCGGGTTCAATGCGAGTCTGTCTCCATTCGCGAGTCCACGGGTCATGCCAGGGCAGTGGAAAGGGAAGGTGCAGATTTTGCAGGTTGTCTCCGGATGCAGCTAAACTTACCTTTGGTTAGTAGAGAATGGCAGAATGGTAGTAATAGTAGTTATAATTGTACCCCATTCCACCATTCCCTACTAATCAAAGGTAAGGCTTTTCGCCTTTGCCAGACTTAGACGCAAAGTTGCAACCTCACAACTCCGACTTCCAAAGCTTGACAACCGGCACTGTTCCATTTCCCTGCTCATAACTTACATCGCTACCGATAATTAACCTAATGTTTACAATTAATGTAGGAACCTGATTGAGAAACCTTGGCCCTTTATTGGTGTCCCTTATAAGAATCCTGCTAGTTTTGGGGTTATAGGCCCGGGGTTTCTTAATCAGGTTCCTACATTATTATCCATGAACCTCCAAGTTGACTGGAATCCTGGGTCACGGGCTGCGTCCACTCTTTCTGGTTCTGAAACGGTGAGACTGCGCGTGCCTGCAGGGCGGTCTGATATGGTTCGATGTTAAGGCTTTGGCTTTGGAGTCAAGAGTGGAAGAGGGTTTTGGCCATTCCTGCGAGCTACCTGAATGCAAACCAGCAAATTCAGCATGGTAAGCCCTCGTGTGGCACAGTAAAACCGATTCTTGCATCAGCGTGGGTTTACACATGAGCTTTTGCTTGGATCTTCCATTGTTTGGCAGGCGAGGCTGAAAACTGGTTGGTGCATCTTCACAGCAAAATGCTGCGGAGCAAAGCAGCACGCTCCCCTATGGAGGTGTGCTGCTAACCAAAGGTGATACATTAGCCCCTCGTTGTGGCGAACGTTGCCCTTAGCCCTGTCATGAGCTGTGAAAACAATCCAAAAAAGAAAAGATCGCTGATGCCCTAGAAAGCTGCGATCACTTAGCTTTTGTGCCCGCTGGGGGCTGGAGGGTAATTTCGCTCTCGCGGTCGACGGTGTCGCAGCAGCACCAGGTGCTCGCCTTTGCATGCGCCTTCTCGGCCATGTCCCCAAGCTTGTCCCCGAGCTTCTCCAACTTTTTGCCCATGCCGCCCCAGTCAATGCTTGCTGCAGCCTCTTTCATGGACACACCGTAGGTTTTGGCCTGCTCGGCAATGTCGTCCCAGGGAATGTCCTCCGTCTTGATCTATCTACACATATGAAAAAAAAAATATATATATATATATATATATATATATTGTATCGCAAACCTTTCTCAAAAGCTTGACGCTATGCCCTGAAGCTAATTACCCTAAGACCCTGTCCTCTGCCGCCTCCTTGATAGAAAGCCCCATCCCAACCGCCGCGTCTTTCATCGACACGCCCGTGGCTTTGGCCTTCTCCGCAATCTCGTCCCAGGGGATCTCGTCCATCTTCTTCTTCACGGCCGTTGCCATGGCCTGGGTTTTCTTGGTCACCAGCCATTAGTACTAGTATTAGTATTAGTATCAGTAATAGTAGTAGTATAAGTATTAGTATTCGCAGTCGTATTCGTATTAGTATTAGAAATTGATATTAACATTAACATTAGTTTTTTTCCCCTCCTACCTAGCAATAGTCTTTACGGCTTGGGCTTAGTATCATGGCTCCTGGGCTTTCTTGGTCATCTCCTCCCAGGGGATGGACTTGGCCGCCTCCTTCATGGAGACTCCCATCTCACTGGCCTTCGCCTGGATGTCATCCCAGGGGATGGCCTCGATCTTCTCCTGGTTGAACCCGGTTTAGGCTTTAGGGTTTTTTTTTAATGCAGTGGTTTAGGGTTTAGGGGTTTAGGGTTTCGGGTTTAGGGGTTAGGGTTCACTCTGTGCACTTAAATCCATATCAAGGAATGAAGGAAGGCAGGAATGAAAGAATGAAGGCAGGGGGGAAGGAATGAGCGCATGAAGGGAGGAAGGAGTGCAAGAAATATTGAAACGATGGATGATAGAATGGTTCAATGCTTGAATGGCTGACTCACTGAACTG